TGCTGGATAAAAACGCTACCACTGACCTACCTTTAAAATTTTTTTTCTTTTCTTAAAAATTTTTATTCTTGATAAATTTCCCAGGGTGCCTCAGCCTCCTGAGTATCTGGGATTACAGGCATCTGAAGGAACCTAAAAAGATGTCTTTCTAAATAGAGGTTTTGTATATTACATTTTAATCATTTGTGCTTTTGCTTTATTTTCTGCTTTGTGACACATAGCTAATAACCCTAGCAGTATGAATGCTATTGTGGCCAAAACAGCTAAAGTATTTTCTGGCCCTTTGTAAACAATGCTTGCCAGCTCTTGTTCTAAAGAGTCTCTTAATTGAAAGTTTTTGTTGTTTTTCCCTTCTGGAACAACATGGATTTTGTTAAAAATTATTTGATTTAAATATCAATTCATAAGCTAAAATAATTTTTAATGGTTAAAATTTGTAGCTTACCCTTAGGTTATTTTTGTAATGACATTCAGAAAATAATGTACTTGGAACCAACTTAATTCCTTAGTTAATTAGCAACATTAGTACTAATAAACTCCCCAAGCTACCCTTTGCAGGAAAATTAAAAAGAGAAGCACTTCATCAGTGAGATGGGGTAACCTTTGTCATTGTTTTCTTGGGGATTCTGTTTCTTGAATGAATGGATGAGTGAAATGAGATAGTACGTGTAAAGTGCTTAGCACAGGAACAGCCTTAATAAATGGTAGTTATTAATAATGAACATGTCAGAATATGCACTTGTCACTCATAACTGAATATAGCTCAAATATTAACATAAGATGACTTTTCTTTGTAGTATCAAAAAGTAATAAATTATCCTGTCCTTTTAATCTTTTTTCAAGTACTTTAAAAAGCATTTAAAGCACTTTGAATAGGACATGAGTACTTAAAGCATCTGTTAGATTAAAAAACATGTGATATATGGATATAATAGTTGATTAAAAGATATTTAGTCAAAATTTCCAAGTTAAGACCAGTGTAAGTTACATTTATGTATGGAATGAATGAATTAAAGTTGTAAGCAATGTAAGAGTTTCTGTGTTTAAGATGTTTGCAGTGTAGTTGGAAAGACCATATCTGCACATCTGAAAAGTTACCAAAAATACAAATTATAGTTTTGGACCTAATTTTTTCTTCAGATCAGTTTCTTTTCCTTTCTATCTCTTCCATACTTATTTTGCATATTAAACATCCTTTTATCCTCCTCTTAGGACTTAATTGCTCTTAGGATTCTTTTTAGCTACTTTTAGAAGCCTCCTGTCATGCTCAGATTAACATAATAATTCCTTCTCTGGCAATGAAATTAATTTGTGTATCTTTATCATTTTGCATTCCTAAAATATTTGCATGCTCATTTTTATGTTTTAAGTATTTGGGCACACTGTTTGGAGGATTGGGAGGGAAAGTGTGGAAACAGTTCTGACACTTTGTTAGTTGACATGATAACATCTTACTGTTAGGATTTCCGGTTATAGCTTTCTGGTTATGGCAGGAACTTGACAGTTGGCCTTTCAAGATGAAGTCTTCCAATCCTTCATCTTTTCAAAAAGAATTTAGATGTATTGCTACAAAAAAGGAAATCGAAAATTAGAAAGAAATAGAAAATTTTCTAAAAATCTTTGGCTGTTGGCTTTTTAACAAGTTTTGTAAATTTGAAAAGTGTTATTAAGCAATTGACTTCAGCATCTCAAAACATTACAGTTGTTAAATCCTTATGCATCCCTTCTATTTTTTTTTTCTCAAATTTTAGTTGTCACTTATGTTGCTGAATTTCTTGCCTTTGGTTGAAATACAGAACTCCAGATAGTTTGCAGCTGTGGAGAAGCCATCTCTTAGAGAATTTTATTCTGCCACCATTGTAACCATTTACAGACCACAGAGTTCACAGCAACTTGGAAGCCCTCAAGTGTTCTACCTATTGACCTTCAGTTATGTTAGATGAAAACGACTACGTTCATTTTCTAGTTTCCTAGTAAAGTTTCTGTAAATATTAAGAGCAAAAGGAAAAGAAAATATCCTTTTGAACGATTACCCTGATTCTTTGTTAGCAGAAGTACTTCATGAGAAGTCTAAAATTATTTAATTTCACTTATCTAATTGTTTCAAGATTCCTAAGTGAAAAGGGGTTCAGAGAAAGATATTAAAGTATTAGTCTCTTGATTGAATGGGGGGGAGCATATACCCACCTTCTTCATGGCTGTTTGTTTTTTGTTTTTTGTTGGTCATGGGGCCTGAGCTCTGGGCCTGGGTGCTGTCCCTCAGCTCTTCAGCTCAAGTCTAGTGCTCTACCACTTGAGCCACAGCACCACTTCTGCCTTTTTCTGCTTATGTAGTGCTTAGGAATCGAACCCAGGGCCTCATGCATGCAAGGCAAGCACTCTACCACTGAGCCACCTTCCCAGCTCAGAAATAATTCTTTAATAATGCAAAGAAGAAAAACCTTTAATTTCTTATAATTACTCTATTGAAAACCATCTTTTTGAAGCATCTACTTTGAATTCATAAATAGAATAGATAATTTTGCACATCTAACATGAAATTATCCATGATAATTTTCTGCATTGTGGTATAATCAACAAATCTGAAGTATCTAGTAAAGTTTTCAAATAATGAAAGCTTGCTGAAACTAGTTCTCAATCTTTTGCCATCGTTAAGATGGAATATTAAATGCCATTACATTTTTTTTTAAAATTTTTTGGTCCGGTCATAGGGCCTGAACTCTGGGCCTAGGCGCTGTCCCTCAGCTCTGCAGCTCAAGGCTATCACTCTACCACTTGATCCACAGCGCCACTTCCGGCTTTTTTTCTTTTTGCTTATGTGGTGCTGAGGAATCGAACCCAGGGCCTCAGGCATGCAAGGCAAGCACTCTACCACTGAGCCACCTGCCCAGTCCCTAAATGCCATTAGATTTTAAGACAAGTCTTCACTTGTTATTGAAATCAAATTGGCTTATTTACATTTTTTTGAAAAATTTGACTATAAAGCAATAAGTTGTAAGACTGTGCATAGTATCCCTTTTTATTTGGAAGTAATTATGTTTATGTATCAGTCTGTAAGTTATACATAAGATACATACATGATAGAGTTGATTTTGCACATTCCTATATTTGATGCTTCTGGTCACAGCAAAAGTGGATTTAAAATAATAGGTAGTAAATGTTCAGTGAAAATTAATGTTGAAAACTGTTACTTCACAAAGGTTTTCCAAGCCTTGACGAATACCTACTTTAATGGATTACTTTTATGTTCGGATATATAATGTATCCAGCTAGCACAAAATGATGGTAATGGACCCTAGTATCCTAAAACTCAAATGAGTTTAACAGTCTCAGGAAGAGAACTAGTATAACTGAATAAAGAAATGGAAAGATATGAAAAAAACTGGTTCTGCTACCTAGAGTTACTTTAATTTTCTTAGTATGTGAATTATTTAATGTGGTCATTTCAAAGAACAAAAAAGAATTAAGTCGAAATATCATGATATAATTTGCATTCCATTTTCTCCGTGACCATAGTTGTTAGATATTGCAACATATGTAACATAAACCACATGTCAGCTGTTTCCTGCCTCCTTGTTGACAAGAGCCCCATTCATAACTCTTCTTTTTATCCTTTCAGTGAATAAGTAATTATTCAATATAGGAGGCAGGATATTTGGAACTGGCTATTTAATGTGGCAGAACTCTGTAATGAAATCTGCTGTTACTGGCAACCTGAGAGGGGAATGTAACAATTCCAGCAGGGCTGTAACTTTATCTGCTTTGACTGACTTGTTTATTTGGCACATCAGTGAGCCTTTTATCCCAGTGAGTGACAGCTCCAGAAGGGTCACATTTACATCCATTCTATCATGTATTGTAATATTTAATGGCAGACAAGGTTGAGTGAGACCGGGAGTAATTTGAACTTGCTTTTCCACCAAGCTGAGGCTAAAAGACAGCTTGATCTCCAGTATTGTGGTGTAACATGCTATGACTTAGCATTTGTTTATGGCACTAATCTTACTGATTAAAAAACAAAAAAGTCCACAAAACTTCAGTAAGAAGAGTACTTGTTCTAATAAAGTAAGACTTTCAGTACACATTAGTTTAGGTTAGTGTGCTCTTTACCTTTGTTTACTCCATCAGTGACTATATCAGGGTATTTTTCTTAAAAGAAACCTCATTCTGTCTCCTGTAATATGGTAATTGAGGCTTTTAAGGGAGTAGTTACTGAGAACCTGTGAGTTCTAATAATATACAGCATTAAACTTAATATTTTTAAGAATTTGGAGGCAGGAGATAAAACTCATATAACTGTTAGAGACTGTGTGCCTAATGTTTATGCGATGTGTTTAAGAAGACATTTATGTAACTATTTCAGTTGTGAAATGGAATTATGAGTGAAAAGCTATCTTGCATAATTTTACTGATGGATTTGTATTTCACAACAGATAATCCGGTTTCAGATAGACTTGTTCCACATAAACAACTTACTTCTACCATTAAATATTAATATTTTGCATTTATTTCATACCTTTGCTGGAGAACTTTTTTAATCTCATGTTTTAGTTATAATTGAAATTCAACTTGGTGTTCCTGTTCTTTTGTGAACTGTATTTAGAATGTTAAAAAAAAAAATTGGATGTATTAGAGAGTATTTGAAGAGCTATACTGTCTGTGAGCAAAACTATTAACATCACAAATTCACATGAAACCTGAGAAAATTTAAATGATCTTCCACTGTCATTTACTTTCATAATTTATGAAAGAGAAGGGTTAAGATGTATTTAAGATAATTGAAATTAGAAAGAGGGTATGTTAGAAAGAATATAAATATGAGAACATCATTTTATAGCTTTTAAAAGAAAGAGAAATTTGTCGTGGAATTTATAGTTTTTAGTGGCAATTATTGACCACAATGACTCATGACTTACAGGTTCTGAGTCCATGAAAGTTTTGGTAACATTTTGTGTAGCAGTCCAGACATTAGTTATCTTTTTGTTTCCTCTCTTTTGCAGCATCCTGGTCACTGTTCTAAGTGCTGCTGTTCTACTAAACAAGGAAACAATCAAGATTCTTCAGATACCATTAAGAAGGACCATGGGGGGAAATCCAAGAGACCCAAAATATATTTTGGGACACGCACACATAAACAGATTGCTCAGATTACTAGAGAGCTCCGGAGGACAGCTTATTCAGGGGTGCCAATGACTATTCTTTCCAGCAGAGATCATACTTGTATCCATCCTGAAGTAGTTGGTAACTTCAACAGAAATGAAAAGTGCATGGAGTTACTGGATGGAAAAAACGTGAGTAAAGTTATTTTATTTTAGAGAAAAAAACAAGGCTGAAGAGATTCACATTACTTAATAAATGTTTTTGATGTACATTTCTAGTGATAAGTAATTTCTGAAGATCAAGTTGTTAGTGTTGGTAATGTTTGTAAAGTAATTGTATCATAAAGTCTTTCATCAAGTTTAAAATGGTAGGTTTTTATCTTAAGCTTGCAGATATTTAATGCCTTGAAGCTAGTTTTCATTATAGTCAGATGTTATCTTTTTAAATTCCTCTACCAGAAATTATCAAATATGGATGATGTCAAATAAAGATAAAGATATTTTGATGATGTAGTCTAATTTGATCTAATTAACAAATTCATTTATTTAAAACTTGAAAAGAAGATTGCTGAGACTGAGAAAATTTTGGAAGTGTTTTACGGAATCGTGATAATTATCTTTCCTTAATTCTAAGTATTACAAAGTTTTTTGAAAATTACATTAGCATTGCATATTTGGAACTCTCACAGTGGAACTCTCCCCGTTAGATAATTAATATGCAGTTATACAAATGTGGAAAGTTACATTAGACTAGTAACTTTAAAAAGGTGTCTTAGATGATTTTGAAGATTTCCAGGGAAAATAGAATAGTATAAAGGTAAGTAAAAATACAGAAGTCTCAGTAAACCAAAGATATGATTTTTAAATACTGTTATGGAGAGTATTATTTGGGAGTCTGTATTCTGCTATAACTATCTGTTCTAAAACTGAAGTTGTGAATATGAAATTAAACTTAGAAATCATTAGTCTACCAGTTTATGGTCAATGGTATTTTACTGGTTATTTTGAAAGATTTTTTTTTAAAATTTCACTTGGTATTTTATCCAAGACTATGGCTTACAGTCCCAGTTTCACTGCATTGAAAGATCCCCTCCTACCATAAAATGGGAATAAATTATTTTAATTATGCTTCTCTTTCTCAGTGCTTTTTTATTAGATGAGAATCTGTTCAAGCTCTATTTGGGAATACTGTTTTGAAAGATATTTAAACACAACATAGTATAAAAGAGAACATAAAGTCTAAGTAGTAAAGGGTCCTAGTGGAAAAATGTGGTTTGTTCAAAGCCAGAAAGAGAATTCAGAATTACTGAATCAAAAATCACTGTTGAAAATCACTGTTCCTCATATTTATTTCCGTGTAAGTTCTTTCTAACTTATCAAAGAATTATGAAATCTTCTTAGTATTCATTTAAAAAGTTCCCATCAGGGAGAGATGAAAATATTGAAAAGTCAAGTGTGAAAAAAATTAAGGAAAAAAATCTCTTCATGACAAAACTATAAATTTCATGTTTTAGCAGGCTTTTAACTCATCTGTATTTCTTAAATATTTAATTTTTTTGACTATATAGTTGGTATAAGATGATTTGCTGGTACTGTCGTGTGTGTGTGTATGTGTGTGCACATGTGCATGCGTGTGCACACTCCTGTATTTTGGACTCAGGGCCTGGACACTGTCCTTGAAGTTTTTTGCTCATAGATAGTACTCTACCATTTAAGCCATAGCACTCCTTCCAGCCTTTTTTTTTTTTTGGCGATTAATTAGAGGTAAGAATCTCAAGGATTTTCTTGCCCAGGCTGTCTTCAAACCACGATCCTTAGAACTTTAGCCTTCTGAGTAGCTAGGATTACAGGCAGTTATGGGTATCAGCTTTTTGTCATATTTTTTTATTCATTAAAAACTTACATTTAAAAAATACACACATTGATAAAAAGCAATTAACATGTTTAAGATTATGTATTGGAGCCTAACAGTCTGATTTTATATAGTCAGTCTTCTAGAATCCTGCAATATTATTTATATTCTTAATTGACTTTTTTACTCCATAAGTATGAGCTATGTGAAAATAAAGTAATTGGATAAACTTCAATTTCCAGAATTTTTTACTCATCTAAAAGGAATTAGTATTTAGTGATACACCTGCTTGTGGCTTGACCTAATTCTGCCTTTGAATGCTTACCTTCTGGGTGAACGTGAACATTGTTTTTCTTGTTCCCAAGCCCTCAGAGTAATTTGGTATTGTAATGAGGGTCAATTACCAAGTCACCATAGGTGTCTGTGTTTGCTGTGGCTGAATCACCAAAGCTGAAATGACAAATAGATAACTGGCAGTTTGAGTGAAAAGAGTTTAAAGTGTGATAACGCTTCAATTGACAGACTCCCCTCAGGGTTGTGTTACACTGCTAAAGTGGATGAGCTTTTCTGGTTTTGCTATCAGCCTGCACAGGGCTGTCATTCTTAGTGCCCTTAAAGTGTAAACTTGCTGATTTTTTGGCTTGATCTGAAGGCACATGTGTTTTTGTTCACTGTTTCTTTTATTAAAGTGCCCTCACACTACAAAACTGTGCACTTGTCTGTTAAAAGTTAATTTTTGTTTCAGTTAAGAAAAAATTTTAACAAGAGCCAGAAATGACAATTCAAAAAAATTTTAGATATAAAGTATCTGCTTTTTATTAAAATGAGACTTGGGGCTGGGAAGGTGGCTCAGTGGTAGAGCGCTTGCCTTGCATGCATGCCTGAGGCCCTGGGTTCGATTCCTCAGCACCACATAAGCAAAAAGAAAAAAGCCGGAAGTGGCTCTGTGGCTCAAGTGGTAGAGCACTAGCCTTGAGCTGAAGAGCTGAGGGAAAGTGCCCAAGCCCAGAGTTCAGGCCCCACGATCGCACCCAAAGAAAAAAAAAATAAATAAATGAAATGAGACTTGTTAGTTTACAATCATAAATTCTAAAGATTCTTCCGTGATCATTTTGTACAAAAATAAGCTTTCAGAAATGTAATGGCAGATTCTTGGAATGAAGACATGATAAGCGTTATATTAAGGTTAGACTATATCAGACTGAGTGCAAAAGGTAAATAATATATCTCTACTGTCTGGATAATAGAACCACAGGATCTTAGAGCTGGAATAAACCTTTCTGAAAGTATAGCCAGTGAATCAGAAGGAATTCTTTAAAAGCTTCTGGGTCAGCTAATTTTTAATGCTTAGTCACATGAGAAGAATGGGCCCAGAAGTATGTCCAGCTAGAAAAATAGCAAGAAAAGAGATACCAGAATCCAAGGTTTCTAACTCCTATTCCATGATTTTTTTAAAATTTTTATTTTTTTCTTGTTATTAGATGTACAGAGTGGTTACAGCTATATATCAGGTAGTGAGTACATTTCTTTTTGGACAATGTCACCCCTTCTGTCTCTCTCCATAGTAATTTTGACTAAACAAACAAAAAATAAAACTAAAGGGAAGCTGACGTAGTATAAAGGATTTTTAACCGGTAGATGTTAGACAAAGTCCATGAAACTACTATAGAAAATGAACTTTATAAAACCTTAATATTCACATAAGAACCTTTTCTTCCGTGTGTGTGTGTGTGTGTGTGTGTGTGTGTGTGTGTGTGTGTGTGTGTGTGTGTATGCATGCATATGCATGCATGCGAATGCCTGTACATGCACGCCAGCCAGTCCTGAACTCTGGGCCTGGGCCTTGAACTGGCTTGGGCACTATCCTAGTGCTTTTGTGCTCAAGGCTAGTGTTGTACCACTTAAGCAACAGCTCCACTTCTAGCTTTTTGGTGGTTAATTGGAAATAAGAGTCTCAGGATTTTCTTTCTGGGCTGGCTTTGAACCATGATCCTCAGATTTTGGCCTCCTGAGTATGTAGGATTACAGGTGTGAGACACTGTCACCCAGCTCTCCCTAATTTTTAATACTCTAGAAAAGCAGCAGCTAGCTTCTGTAAACATGGCTGGATATAAAGCAATAGGAGAACTGGTCTTTAGCTGTTCTTTTTCGCTTTGTGGAAATTTTTTTTAGGTTATGAACCTTTTTTTGTTCTCTACTACAATTCTAGGTGTATCAGTATATCTAGTGTGATACATGCACATATGTTTAAAAACATAGAAAAATACAGACATGCATATGTATGTGTATATATTTTTAAAGATAAACCAGGATGAACTTCAGGAAATGGAAACAAGATGTTTTCTTTGATGGTGTTTTTGTTTTCTTTTTATCTTGTCTGTTCATTTATCTGTCTTTGGGAGGCCGGGCGGAGGTCGGCACAGAAATGGAAGGACAAAGGGTAACAAATGCAGCAGTACGACTCACTAGACACTATGTTGAAAATGAACTGTACAACTTCTGGGTGGGGATGAGAGGGAAAAACTGAGAGTGAGGAAAAGGGTGACATTGTCCAGAAGAAATGTACTCTTTATCTGACTTATGTAACTGTGACCCCTTTGTATATCACTTTTATAATAACAATAAAAAATGCATAAGAAGATAAAACAGGAAAGATATATTTTTATTTCACAATCAGATTTAAGTTTTTGTTTGCTTGTTTTTGCTGGTCGTGGGCCATGAACTCTGGCCTTGGAGCTATCCCTCAGCTCTTCAGCTCAAGGCAAGTGCTCTACCACTCAAGCCACAGTGGATTATTCTGCTTATCCGGTACTGAGGAATCAGACCCAGGGCCTCATGGATACAAGGCAAGCACTCTACCACTGAGCCACCTTCCCAGCTCTTCAGATTTAAATTTTTTATTGGTAATTGAATGAAATAAAAATGGCCTACTGTTGTGTCATTTGGTCTCCAAAAGAGAAGTAGCTAGGTGTAATAATGCATCAAGAGCTCAAGGTCACCTTGAGCTGACATAGGAAGATTGAGGTCAGCTTGAGCAGAGGGAGAGGCTGTTCTGAAATGTCTGGATGCTGGTGGCTCACGCCTGTAATCCCAGGTACTCAGGAGGCTGGGATCTGAGGATCACAGTTCAAAGCCAGCCTGGGCAGGATAAAGTCCATGAAACTTTTATCTCCAATCAACCACCCACCAGAAAACCTGTGGCTCAAAGTGGTAAAGTGCTACCCTTGAGTGGAAAAAGTTTAGGGACAGTGCCCAGGTCCTGAGTTCAAGCCTCACGGTTGATCAAAAACAAAACAATAAAATGAAAGTAATATATGTATTAGAATATTAAAAATTAAGAAAATTACAAAACAAGAGAGAAGTTCTGTCATTTTAGCTCCTTAACTCTTCAAGGAAGCTACTTAAATGTATTCTGTGAGAACATTTAGAAACCATTATTTGATATAATTTATGACTACTTATTCTTTTAAAAGCCAACTTACTTGAACTTAATCATTCTGTACATATTCAATTCCATTTTTCCCACTTTTTTTTTTTTGGGTCCGGTCGTAGGGCCTGAACTCTGGGCTTGGGCACGTCCCTCAGCTCTTCAGCTCAAGGCTAGCGCTCTACCACTTGAGCCACAGCGCCACTTCCGGCTTTTTTCTTTTTACTTATGTGGTGCTGAGGAATCGAACCCAGGGCCTCATGCATGCAAGGCAAGCGCTCTACCACTGAGCCACCTTCCCAGCCCTCCCACTTAACATTTTTACAGAGTATAACATCCACACATAAAAGACTAGTTTTTGTATGAGTTTACCATAATTTATCTAATACATATGCTAAGGGGTGGTAGGCATTAGGTTTATATCTGCATTGGGACTATTAAACAATGCAGTGTATATATATTACAGGTAACAAAATTGAGGTTTTGACAGATTGCCTAGACATTTCTGTTAGAAGATTGTACTTGTGTTTACACCTCTAATTTTATTTATTTTAATTTTTTTAAGACAATTTCGTCTGGGCTAGAATTGAGCCTATTCCTCCCAATTGCAGGAATTACAAGCATGTACTGCCACATTTAAAAATAGCCAGGCACAGGCTGGGAATGTAGCTTAGTGGTAGAATACCTGGGTTCGATTCCTCAGTACCACATACACAGAAAAAGACAGAAGTTGTGGTGTGGCTCAAATGGTAGAGCACTAACCTTGGGCAAAAAGAAGCTCAGGGACAGTGCTCAGGCCCTGAGTTCAAACCCCAGAACTGGCAAAAAAAAAAAAAAAAAAATTAGCCAGGCACCATTGTATCATACCTTTTTAAAATTGATTATAAAAGTTTGTACAGAGGGGATAAAGTGACATAAATAAGGTAATGAGTATGTTTCTTTTCAAACAGTGTTACCCTCTCCCTCATTTTCTCCCACTTTCCCTCCCTCTCACTTTATTTCCCCTCTCTCCAAAGTTGTAAAGTTCATTTCCAATGTGTACCTTGTGAGTATGGTTGTTCCATTGGTACGTATATAGCTATGTACCTATGACCATATAAAATGATGCTAATTGAAATGAACTCCCAAGATATGGAAATAAAAGGGTTTTTTTTTTTTTTTTGCAGTAAGGCTTCTCATTTATTTAAGTACTTTCCAAACATATACAAGTCAAAGTAAAAAGAAAGTAAATCTTACAAACTCAGATGTTTCCCCCAAAATGACCAAACCACATCATGTTGAAGATGAGGCTGTCATAGACACAGAAATCCAGTTTATTGCTCTTTGCCCTAGAATACAAATCTCCTCTTAATAGGTGTTTACAGACTGGGAAGTTGGAGTGTAAGATGAGTGCTAAAGTTAGGGCCTGTTCACCTCTTTAGTGTGAGTCATGAAAAAAGGGTTTTTCTTTAATGTACTGTGTTATTTCTCCCTTCCCACTTTGCTTTGTCCTCTGTTGTCACTGTTTTTTATTTTGGTACCCTGAGATATCTATCTATCTATCTATCTATCTATCTATCTATCTATCTATCTATCTATCTATCTATCTATCTATCTATATCTAGCATACCTTTAATTCTAGCTATTCAGGAGGCTGAGATCTGAGGATTGCAGTTCCAGGCTACCCTGGGAAGGAAAATCTGTGAGACCCTTATCTCCAGTTATCCAGGGAGGGAAAAGTGTGTGTGTGTGTGTGTGTGTGTGTGTGTGTGTGTGTGTGTGTGTGTGTGTGTGTAGTGTTGCTTAGGATTTGGCAGTAATGTTAATCGTATGTCCTTTCTGGAGGTTAATTTGGTGATAGATTGTCAAGAAACTTAAAAATACTTCATGTCTGATTCCATAATACCATTTCTAGAGATGCATATTAAGAAATACTTAAGAAGTGATTTAACAACAGGCAGAAATTGATGATAGTCTAATGCTCAGTAATAAGGAGACTAATCATCAACTGTGACATATTAATTCAATGTACATATATAGGAACAATAATGGAAAAATGCCTAGTGATATGAGAAGATTTTTCTGAAATAGAGAAATGTAATTGAATCCAGTTGTTTAAAAATGTTCATTTAGTGTGGCTATATTATTAATAATCCTCATGCCTAAGGAAATTTTGTTTTGTTATTTTAATATTGGATCATATTGTACATATGTGTAGGATGATTATATTATAAAATCACCAAAATGTTAATAATATGTCCTTTATGTGGTGGTTATAATTTAGGATAGGTACTCTTGAATTTTATGAATGTTTTTGTAGTGATTTTTTTCCCCCAGGATGATTCCAGTTGTCTTCCCCTTTTCCTCCTTTTTTTTCTTTCTTTCTTAGATATATTAACATTTTTTGTGGGTCCTGGAGCCTGAACTCTAGGCCTGGGTGCTGCTGTCTGTGACCTTTTATGCTCAAGGCTCAAGTTCAGGCAGTGGCTCTACCACTTGAGCAGCAGCTCCATTTCTGGCATTTTGGTGATTCATGGGAGATAAGAGAATCTCATGGACTTTTTTGCCTGGGCTGGCTTTGAACTCTGGTCCTCAGATCTCAGCCTCCTAACTAGCTAGGATTATGGGCATGGGCCACAAATGTTCTGCTTATTGCAATGTTTTTATTTGGCTCAAAATTAAAAAGATAGTAAGGGATTAACAGAAAATTTGCTCTTACTTATATGCCCATGTCACTTAGTTTTTCATTCTTAAAAGCAGCCTGGGGTATCATTGCTCTGTTTATACTCCCAGATGTATTTTATGTCTAGTATCACTGTAATCAGATCATGGCAACAACAAATACAATGTAAAAAGTCTTTTTCTAAAAGTTAATAATTGGAGTATTGCACTCAGTTGATGAGAAACGTGCTTTGATTTTGAGTCAACTATAATTTCTCGATTTTGTGTGTGTGTGTGTGTGTGCGCGCGCGCGCGCGCGTGTGTGCGTGCACTAATACTTGGGCTTGACCGCAGGGCCTCATGTACTTGAGCCACACCTCCACTTCAATTCTGCTGGTTAATTGGAGATAAAGATCTCTGGGATTTTCTTCATAGGCTCCTTTATCTCCTGAGTAGCTAGGATTACAGGCATGAGCCACTGACACCTGGCAGTTTCTTTGAAATAGTTAATGATTGTAATTGGATATTGTGGCATGTGCCAGTAGTCCCAATTACTTTGGAGGTTGAGACAGGAACATCTCTTGAGCTCCAGAGAGTTCAGAGCCAGCCTGGACACAACTTGAGGCCCTGTCTCTTGGGAAAGAAGAAAAAAAAATTGTGACTGCAAATATGGTGTAATGTTCATCATGCAAAATATACCTGTAGATTTAGTAATGTTCCTACATTTCTAAGATAAGCTTATTTTATTCCTTTTATTTCAGTACTGATTCACATTTCAGCTATTTGTGTTTATTTTTAGGGGAAATCCTGCTATTTGTATCATGGTGTTCATAAAGTTAGTGATCAAAGTGCTTTACAGAATGTTCATGGGATGTACAAAGCTTGGGATATAGAAGAACTTGTCAAACTAGGAAAAAAACTAAAGGCATGTCCCTATTACACAGCTCGAGAACTAAAAGATGATGCAGACATAATATTTTGTCCTTACAACTATCTTCTAGATGCACAAATAAGGGAAACTGTGAGTATATACGTAAAAATTAGAAGAACTTTTCCTCCTGCTTATTGGGATGTAAAAGAGAAACATTAAAGCTTTTAGATGTTTTAATGTCTTTAGTTTTGCTTTTCTATATGAGTTACTGTAAATAAGTTTATATACACAGTACTGAAAACATAAAGATGTATTAAAAACTGAATTTGAGACAGCCATCTTACAAACTTAATTTTAAGGACATAGTAACTACAGTGGGATTATAGCAAGTTTCTTAACTTGACAATAATGAAATTTTGGGCTAGGTAATTCTTTATTGTGGTCTCTGTCTTGTGCAAGGATCATCCCTGGTTTTTGTTTAGTAGATCCCCAGGGTAGCTTTCTCAAAGTGTTCTCAAAACTACCTCAAGACACTGCAAAATGTCTCCTGTTTACAGCCATTGTTTTTTGTTTGTTTGTTTGTTTTTGTGTTTTTGGTCTGGTAGTGGGGCCTGGACTCTGGGCCTGGGCACTGTCCCTCAGCTCTTCAGCTCAAGGCTAGCGCTCTACCACTTGAGCCACAGTACCACTTCCAGCTTTTTTCTTTTTGCTTATGTGGTGCTGAGGAATGGAACCCAGGGCCTCAAGCATGCAAGGCAAGCGCTCTACCACTGAGCCACCTTCCCAGCCCCACAACCATTGTTCTTACTCCTCATGAATAGTTTTAATGGATTATCTAAAACCTTATCTAAAAAAAAATGTTTTCTTTAAAACTTATATTTGGAGAATATACATATTATAAAAATTATGCTTTGAGAACTTTAAGAAATGAACTTCAGCCATGAGCCAGTGAATCACATCTGTAATCCTAGCTATGCAGGAGGTTGAGATCCGAGGATTAAGGTTCAAAGCCAGCCCAGACAGGAAGGCCTGTGAGATGTTCATCTCCAGTTAATAAACAAAAGGTTGAAAGTGGAGCTGTGGCTTATGTGGTAGAATATTAGCTTTGAGCATAAAAATTCAAGGATAGTACCCAGGACCTACACACAAAAAAATAAATAAATAAAAAAGAAAGAAAATAAGAAAAATGAACTTCAAATTTTATTTGTTTCCTCTTTAGAGATATCAAGTTGTTACAGAACAAGATAATAAGTAAATAATTTGATATGCCCTTTTTGTGTGTGTGTATCTTGGTACTTGAACTCAGGGCATGGGCATTGTTACTGAGCTTTTTTCTCAAGGGAAGCCTCTCTACTACTTGAGCCACAGCTTCACTTTTGGTTTTTTTGGTAGTTAATTGGAGATAAGAATCTTCTGTGGAGTCGGGCGCTGGTGGCTCACGCCTGTAATCTTAGCTACTCAGGAGGCTGAGATCTGAGGATCGCGGTTCAAAGCCAGCCTGGGCAGGAGAGACTGTGAGACTCCTATCTCCAATAAACCACCAGAAAACTGGAAGTGGCACTGTAGCTCAAGTGGTAGAGCACTCGCCTTGAGCTGAAGAGCTGAGAGACAGCGCCCAGGCCCAGAGTTCAAGCCCCACAACCGACAAAAAAAAAAAAAAAATCTTCTGTGGGCTGGGAAGGTAGCTCAGTGGTAATGTGCTTGCCTTGTATGCTCAAGGCCCTGGGTTCGATTCCTCAGCACCACATAAGAAAAAAGCTGGAAGTGGCGCTGTGGTTCAAGTGGTAGAGTGCTAGCCTTGAGCTGAAGAGCTGAGGGACAGCGCCCAGGCCCAGAATTCAGGCCCCACGACCGGACCCCAAAAAAAAAAAAAAAAAAAAGAATCTCCTGGAAGTTCATTCCTGCCTGAACTGTCTTTGAACTGCGATCCTGAGAGCTCAGCCTCCTGAGTAGCCATGAGCCAAACAATCTTTACTTCTTCCTTTAGGTCTGATTATGCAATTCTTTTTGTTGTTGTTGTTGTTGTTAGTCATGGGCTTGAACTCTGGGCCTGGGCACTGTCTCTCAGCTCTTTAGCTCTAGGCTAGGTCTCTACCACTTGAGCCACAGTGCCACTTCCGGCTTTTTCTGTTTATATAGTGCTGAGGAATCGAACCCAGGGCCTCATACATGCAAGGCAAGCACTCTACCACTGAGCCACCTTCCCAGCCTGATTATGCAATTGTTAACTGACCCTTAACTCGGTACCTCCCCTCCAAGTCATTGCACATATGACTGCTAGATAAGTCTTCCAAATCCTATTTTTATTAAATTCTTCTTGTACTTAAAAATCTGTAGAACCTTTTGATAAGGAATAATGAGTCCTCGTGTATGTGTGTGTGTGTGTGTGTGTGTGTGTGTGTGTGTTTGTGTGTTTGTGCGCGTGTGCGCGCACGCGTGTGCTCTTACTGGGCCTTGAACTCAGGGCCTGGGCGCTGTCCCTGAAATTTTGTTAGCACTCTTATCTCTTGAGCCACAGCTCAATTTCTGTCTTTTTGGTGGTTAATTGGAGGTAATAGTCTCTAGACTGGCTTTGAACTTCAGACTTTAGATCTCAGCCTCCTGAGTAACTAAAATTATAGGTGAGCAACTAATAACCCAGAAAAGTCCATATTTTTAAAATTTGTATTCAGAATGATTAGTAATGTGACATAGCTTTACCTTTTCAGCCTTCTCTACAAAAACTCCCAACTATAACTATTCTTTATTGTCCTATGGGGATATGAATACCTCTGCTTTTGATGACACCTCTCTTGAAATATTCTGCCTTTTTTGGGGTGAGGGGGGTCCTAATCCAAATCCTCATTTTTTAAAATCCCAGTCTATTTTTTTTTTTTGGATCCGGTCGTGGGGCCTGAACTCTGGGCCTGGGCACTGTCCCTCAGCTCTTCAGCTCAAGGCTGGTGCTCTACCACTTGAGCCACAGCGCCACTTCCGGCTTTTTTTTTTCTTTTTGCTTATGTGGTGCTGAGGAATGGAACCCAGGGCCTCATGCATGCAAGGCAAGCACTCTACCACTGAGCCACATTCCCAGCCCAATCCCAGTCTATTTTTGATCTCCCATGGTTCTTTCTAAGTCATTTTGAGCCCTGCTAGTACAATTATAACTCTTTGGAAGTTTTTTTTTGTGGTATTTCTTTGCTTTATTAGGATATTTTTCATTACAAATGACACAAACTCAGCTTATGAAGACCTTTAGAAAAAAATATTTTGGTCTCTTGATTATGATGTCTTTATTCTCAGTCAAACTTTACCTCTGAGGACAATAAGCATTTAGCTAATGTGGAGAAAAGAACATGGCCTCATATTAATCCCCTCAAGAAACTAACTGGCCTAGCTTCAATGATAGATCCATTACTGATCCTGAGCCAATTACTCTGACCATAGAGTGATGGAGTATCTTAATGAGTCTGGGTTATGAGCCTTACCTCTGTTGTAATCATGGCAGTGTCTTCTGGATTAGAACAGTAGTCCTTTCCAGCAGCACAGAGGAGTAGGCAAAGAGCAGTGCTCAAGATCAAGGGTTACAGGACAGACTAAAATGAAACAGCTGGGCTGGGAAGTTGGCTCAGTGGTAGAGCGCTTGCCTTGCTATGCCTGAGGCCCTGGGTTCGATTCCTCAGCACCACATAAGCAAAAAGAAAAAAGCCGGAAGTGGCGCTGTGGCTCAAGTGGTAGAGCGCTAGCCTTGAGCTGAAGAGCTGAGAGACAGCGCGGGCCCAGAGTTCAGGCCCCATGACCGGACCCAAAAAAAAAAAAAAAATTAAGAAAATAAATAAATAAAATGAAACAGCCATATATTGTACTACATTATGTTAGTATTTTGGAACTCACTTGAATCTCATGTTGCTATTTTTATTTTGTTTTCTATTCTTTTAAAATTATATTGGAAATTGTATCATGAGATTCTTTCTCTCTACTCTTTGTATAACCAGCATTACGTTGATCTTGATCCATTCTGTCTCTCTATCTCTCTGTGTCTCTGTCTCTGTCTCGCTCTCTCTCTCTCTCTCTCTCACTCACACACACACACACACACACACACTCACACACACTTTTTCTTCCAGTCCTAGAGCTTGAACTCAGGGTCTGACCACTGTTTCTGAATTTTTTTATTCAAGGTTAGTGCTTTACCACTTGAGCAACAGTTCTACTTCCAGCTTTTTGGTGGTTAATAGGAGAATGAGTCTCAAAGTCTCCCCTAGCTTTCAAACCACAATCCTTAGATCTTGGCCTCTTGAGTGGCTAGGATTACATAAGCGTGAATCACCAGCACTCAGATACATATTTTTTTTCCAATGGTAGATTTTCTAAGTGTTTTAAGATTAGAAAGTATCAAGTTGTAATATAAAACTAGTATTTGGTTGTGCTTCAGAAGTTTGAAGGTTGAGAATCAGTTGCTCATGTAATTGTGCAAGCAGTATTGGCCTTGAGAATAAATGAAATCTCTTACTGCTATTCGATCCATTTTTGCCAAATGTTTTACAGGAAAATTCTTTTACCTTATAGATGGATATAAATCTGAAAGAACAAGTTGTCATTTTAGACGAAGCTCATAACATTGAAGACTGTGCTAGGGAGTCAGCAAGTTACAGTGTCACAGAAGTTCAGCTTCGGTTTGCTCGAGATGAACTAGATGGCTTGGTCAACAGTAATATAAGGAAGAAAAACCACGAACCCCTACGAGCTGTATGCTACAGTCTCATTAAGTAAGAATAATTGTGTGTTAGTGGATTTGTGTTGTCTTTGTATTAAAACATGCTTTACATGCCAGGGTATTTTAAAGTTTGGATATCAATATTTAGACTTGAAATCTAAAACAAAATATTATTTTATCGTTTGTCCTTATCTTTCCCATCTAAGGAAAATGAACCTATCAGTTCCTCAAATCAAAGATATAAATATGATCCTTGCTGACTGCCTCACTTCATCCAGTTCATCAGAAGTCTTATAAATGTCCCTAGTATAGCATATCACAACATTCTGCTTTGGGTATACACTTTTCCCCCTGGTCTTCCTATACCTGAATATTGTCTCTAATTATTAGAATAACCGTCACATCAGAGGGCTCATCATAGACATACAAATTAAAGTAGCAACTAGGTTACGTTAACCTGACTTATTTTCATCTTTATGTTTATTTTTGTGTTTAGTTTTCTCTTTCTCTCTCTTTCTTTCACTGAAGTTAAACTTGGCGTTATTCCTGCTAGCATCTGGAGTCTTTCACTCTGGGTGTTTATCTCTGAGCTTTTGCTCAAGGCTTGTGTTCTCCACTTGAGCCACAGGTCCACTTCCAACATTTTGGGAAGTTAATTAGAGATGGGTCTCACAGACTTCACTTTTTAGTTATGTAAGTATTTTACATTATGAAGTGTGTATTTTTTAAGATGTCTTAATTCATTTTATATCCTAAGAGCTTTACAAAATAATGCATCAGGGGCTGGGAAGGTGGCTCAGTGGTAGAGTGCTTGCCTTACATTCATGAGGCCCTGGGTTCGTTTCCTCAGCACCACATATACAGAAAAAGCCAGAAGTAGTGCTGTGGCTCAAGTGGTAGATTGCCAGCCTTGACCTGAAAAGCTGAGGGACAGCGCCCAGGCCCCCACGACCGACCCCAAAAAAAAAAAAAAGAAAAGAAATAATGCATCAGTATATAACAACAGTTTCCATAAACTTAAAGATAATACTGGTTGACACATTTATTTTATTCTAGTTGGTTAGAAGAAAACTCTAAACATCTTGTAGAAAGAGACTATGAATCATCTTGTAAAATATGGAGTGGAAATGAAATGCTCTTAAATTTGCACAAGATGGGTATCACCTCTACTATTTTTCCTATTTTGCAGGTAAGATTCTTTTTTTTTTAACCACTTGTGAAATTTGTTTAGTCTATTAAAAGTGACTTAGTAGTGAGTAAATTTATAATAAATCCAGCAAATAACCCAGAATTTTAAAAATTAACAATTTAGAACCTGGGTGTGGAAGCTATGCCTGTAATCCTAGCTTCTTGAGATCTGAGGATTGTAGTTGGAAACCAGCCTGGGCAGAAAAGTCTGTGAGCGTCTTATCTCCAACTAACCACCAAAAAGCTAAAAATAGAGCTATGGCTCAAGTGGTAGAGTACTAAAAACTCAGTAACAGCATCTAGTCTTGGAGATTAAAACACAGGACAGCACACCAAAAAAAAATCAAAATCTGATCATCTATATAAACTTTAGAATCAGCTTATTGATATCCACAAACCAAGATTTTGTTTGAGATTTCATTAAATCTATAGATCAATTTGGAAAGAACTAACCCCTTAATATTGTATCTTCCTGTCCATAGTTATAGATTGTCTCTATTCTTTTAGATTTTCTTTAATTTCTTATGAAATTTAGTTTTCCTCATGGATTTTAAGAAAATTTTTTTTGCCAGAGTTTCTGAGGTATGATGGACAAATGGAAGTTGTATATATTTTATTTATTTATTTATTTATTTTTGGGTCCGGTCATGGGGCCTGAACTCTGGGCCTGGGCGCTGTCCCTCAGCTCTTCAGCTCAAGGCTAGCACTCTACCACTCTTGAGCCAAAGCGCCACTTCCGGCTTTTTTCTTTTTTTGCTTATGTGGTGCTGAGGAATCGAACCCAGGGCCTCATGCATGCAAGGCAAGTGCTCTACCACTGAGCCACCTTCCCAGCCCTGTATATATTTTAAATGTACAAATGGTAATTTAGTATGAATGGTGTAGGTGATAATATTTAGCATTTGTTTTTGTTTGATGCTTATTTTATGTATCATAACATCTCCTAGTTTCCTTCGTATTGTTACAAATGGCAGGATTTCCCCTTTTTTTTTTAGATTAAATAGTACAACATTGTCTAAATTTTCTTCATGAATTACTCACTTGGTTCTCATTTTCCCCCATGGAAGAAGGTATAGGCTGAGACAGTCTTTTGATAGTGAGCTATACTTCTTTGGGGCAGGGGTAATGTGGGCAATATCAAACCATTATTCTTACCTTCTTTAATACAGTTATTCTGAGATTTTTGCATGTATTATTTCCTTCATTTTTTATTTTGCTTGTGAGCTGGTAGTGTGGCCCAGTGGTAGAGTGCTTGTTGGCATTCCTGAGGACTTGGATTCAATCCTCAGCATTGTCAAAAATAAATAAAATAATAAATTTTGTTTATCATATAGTCACAGTATTCTCATTTTTAGAGTTATTTTCTGGAAATAAGTCAGGCATTTAGGCTAACGTACCAGCTTTTTTTTAAGTTCCTGAGAGAAACTATTTATTATCTTTTCATTTAGTTCTTTACTTCTGAAGGAAATTAAAAGTAGCCTAATTACATAAAGAAGTAATGAGCTTCCTAAATATATAACTTACTATTAAAAGTATTTTTGACTATCAGGAGAATTTAGCTAGTTTAGGAATCTAAAATTGATTGTTGTGCTGGAATATATATGAGTGTCTGCTCAGCTAGCAGACATGTGGCCCTGTACTTGATCCTCAGCCACATGTACACACAAATAATAGTAAAATAAAACCAAAATATATTGTTAGCACTATGTAATTATAATATATATCTAAAATTTAATGCATGTTTTATATGCATTTTGTTATATGATTTATGGAAATTTCCATCCCTCCTTCATCCCTCCTTTTATGCTAATATAGAAATTTTCTTTTAGGGACATTTTTCTGCTATTCTTCAAAAGGAAGAAAAAATCTTAGCATTTCAAGATAAAGAGGAGACAAGAGAAGAACCCATTATTAGCGCTTCAACTCAAATAATGCTCAAAGGACTTTTTATGGTGCTTGACTATCTTTTCAGGGAAAATAGCAGGTCAGTGATGATATGATCTCTTAAAAATTGTAGTCTAATTGTTAGTAGCATGTGTTTAGCTTAGGCCAATTTTAGTGCTGGGCATGGTAGCATACTCCTGAAATCCCAGGTACTCTGAGGGCGAGCAGAAGAATCATGAATTGCAGGCTAACTAGTTGATTTTGTGGTTTGATGGCTTAATTTACATCAGAATTTAGTGGTAAGAATGTTATTGTTACTAGTATTTTTAAAGTATGGAAAAGAAAGTGCTCACGTTTTTTTTTTTTTTTTTTTGGGTTCGGTCGTGGGGCCTGAACTCTGGGCCTGGGCACTGTCCCTCAGCTCTTCAGCTCAAGGCTAGCGCTCTACCACTTGAGCCACAGCGCCACTTCCGGCTTTTTTTTTCTTTTTTGTTTATGTGGTGCTGGGGAATCGAACCCAGGGCCTCAGGCATGCAAGGTAAGCGCTCTACCACTGAGCCACCTTCCCAGCCCCAGTGCTCAAGTTTTAATATAAGCAATTTTTATATTGTATGTCGCTAGGTCATTATAATGTTTTGCCATTTAATTAGCATTTTCTTTGTGTTTAGATTTGCAGATGATTATAAAATTGCTATTCAACAGACTTATTCCTGGATAAATCATACTGATATTCCAGATAAAAATGGATTATTGGTTGTACCAAAAAACAAGAAGCGTTCAAGACAGAAAATTGCAGTTCATGTGCTAAACTTTTGGTGTTTAAATCCTGCTGTGGTAAGCTCATCGTGTTGTAAATGAAATTTTTGTCTTTTAGGTCAATGCCAACAATTAAATGAATGCATTTGACTCTTTCAAAGATGATTTTATTTAACAAATTTTTCTTTTTAGGCCTTTTCAGATATTAATGGCAAAGTTCGGACGATTGTTTTGACATCCGGAACATTATCACCAATGAAATCTTTTTCATCTGAGCTTGGTGTTACATTTACTGTCCAACTAGAGGCTAATCATGTCATTAATAACTCACAGGTTAGTTTTTGGGTCTCTTTGAGGCTCTCAATCTTCTTACTTCAATATAATTTCTTTTTGTTTTTTGCAAGTCATGGGGCTTGAACTCAAGGTCTGGGCACTGACCCTGACCATTTTGCTCAAGGCTGGTGCTCTACCACTTTGAGCCACAGTACCACTTCCTTCTTACTTCAATATAATTTCATATAAACAAATTAGAAGGTACCTGAAATGCCAAACAAATCCTAAAAAATTCACATTTTAAATTTAGGAGAAAATCTGTTAATTGCTTAATAATGTCCACAATAGAAGTATTAATTAACAGTATTCTATTAACCTAGTCACTTTTGATACAAAGACTGCACAACAAATTCTTCATTTGAGTAAGTTTAAATATTTCTATAAATCTAAAAACAAAGGAAAACTTAACTACTATAGTTCTTGTTGTATGGTTACTTATGTGTTATCCCTTTCCTTTAGACTATAGTGTATCTATTTTTCTTTTTACATCTTTTTTTTCTTTGTACCTAGGTTAATACCTGAAATGGACTACAAGTACTCTATTGGTTTTGCAATTTAATATTTTACTTAAAAAATGATATAAATGTTATTTTTTCTGGAAATATTTGAATTATTTTTCATTACACTGAACTTTTTGTGTGTGTGCCAGTCCTGAGGCTTGAATCTGGGCATGGGCGCTGTTCCTGAGCTCCTTTTGCTCAAGGCTAGCACTCTACCACTTGAGCCACAGCACCACTTACGTTTTGTTCTGTGATTAAATTGGAGATAAGAGTTTCAAAGACTTTCCTGCCAGGGCTGGCTATGAAGCGTGAGCCACAGGTGCCCACCTTCTTTTTTTGGGGGGGGGGGTCCGGTTGTGGGGCCTGAAGTCTGGGCCTGGGTGCTGTCCCTCAGCTCTTCAGCTCAAGGCTAGTGCTCTACCACTTGAGCCACAGCGCCACTTCTAGCTTTTTTCATTTTGCTTATGTGGTGCTGAGGAATCGAACCCAGGGCCTCAGGCATGCAAGGCAAGCACTCTACCACTGAGCCATCTTCCCAGCCCCCAAAAATACTGATTTTTTTGGGGGGGGGCTCCGGTCGTGGGGCGTGAACTCTGGGCCTGGGCGCTGTCCCTCAGCTCTTCAGCTCAAGGCTAGCGCTCTACCACTTGAGTCACAGCGCTACTTCCGGCATTTTTTCTTTTTGCTTATGTGGTGCTGAGGAATCGAACCCAGGGCCTCATGCATGCAAGGCAAGCACTCTACCACTGAGCCACCTTCCCAGCCCCCACCTTTTTTTTGGGGGGGGGAAGGTCCGGTCGTGGGGCCTGAACTCTGGGCCTGGGCACTGTCCCTCAACTCTTCAGCTCAAGGCTAGCGCTCTACCACTTGAGTCACAGTGCTACTTCCGGCATTTTTTCTTTTTGCTTATGTGGTGCTGAGGAATCGAACCCAGGGCCTCATGCATGCAAGGCAAGCGCTCTACCTCTGAACCACCTTCCCAGCCCCCCCCCCTTTTTTTTAAAAGTTTAATTTATAGTGGTTAGCCACAAGTTTACTATCACCCATGTGCTTAGCACAATTCTAAGTCATTATAAAGCTTTATATACATAAGGCTGGGGACATTTTTGGTTCTTACAATTGCTCTGGGACAAGTATTAATATTTAGTCATTGGGGACCCAGAACACTAAGCTTCTTTATAACTAAGTTTGCTTTATGAGGGCCAGGGTGCCAGAGGCTCCTGTGAGGAAACATTACTATAAACAACAGTGAAATAAGAATACAGGTTCCACAATTTCAAGTGCCATCCTTAGTGTCTCTACTAGCTATAAAAAGGTTAGAAAATTCACCATATATTTTCTCATGAGGTTATTATAATAGGCTTCAATTATGCCGTCATCCTAGTATACAAAGTTTATTTCATATGTAATACCACTGGATTATAATAATATTGCTAAATGTGCAGCTGGATATTGTTTTACTATAATATTGTCCTCCAAACAAATATTACTGGTTTTTTGGGGGGGGAAGGGGAAGCAGAGGTATTCAATCAAAAACCTTTATTTACACAGGAGAAATAACAAGCAAATTCTTGAAACCAGAGCAGAAACAATACTATTTTGCTTATGTGTGGCAAAATACCAATAGCATAGATAGGAACCATCTTAACTACTTAGAAGTGTAAACTTCAGTCATGTTAAGTGTGTCCATATTTTTGCTCAGCCAATTTGCATCATACAAAATTGTTACCCTTACCTACTGAACAACTAACTTTTCCTTCCCCCTTCACCACTAGCCCCTGGTAACCACCATTCCACTTTCTATTTCCATGAATTTGACTACTCTAGGTAGTTCATGTGAGTGAATTCATAAAGTATCTTTTTGTGACTGACTTATTTTCAGTGTTTGTCGATTTGGTAGAAAATTTCTTTAAAGTTCATCTATTGTAACATGTATCAGAATTTTTGGGGGTGGGGGTGGGGGAGTCGGTGGTGGGGCCTGAACTCTGGGCCTGGGCTCTGTCTCTCAGCACTTCAGCTCAAGGCTAGCGCTCTACCACTTGAGCCATACTTCTGGCTTTTTCTACTTATATGGTACTGAGGAATTGAACCCAGGGCCTCATGCATGCAAGGCAAGCACTCTACCACTAAGCCACCTTCCCAGCCCTAGAATTTTATTTTTGTCTAATGTTTCATTGTATGTATATATGCTGCATTTTATTCATTTTTTTCAACTTTTTATCTTGAAAAATAATAAATTTCAGAAAAGTTGAAAGTGCTATGGACATCTATATCCTTCTCCTAGATTCAATTGTTAACATTATTTGCTGCTTTTTCCTCCCTCCCTCCTGTCTATTTATATGTCTTATCTATTTATCCATGGAAGTTTGCAAATGTTGCACGTTTTTGGATAAATTGTCAAATTTTTAGATAACATGACATTTTGCTCTTACAAGTTTAGTGTATCTCCTCTAAGGATAAATACATTATCTTCTGTAATTAATTTTTTGTATGTGCATTGCTGGGAATCAAACCTAGAGCCTTGTATGTGCTAGGTAAGCACTTAATCATTTAGTGATATTCCCAGCCCTACAAGTCAATTATCCTACATAACCACAATGCTGTGAAAACACCCAAGCAATTTCATGTTGATCCACAGTAGCCAATATTCATATTCTCCAATTGTTCGCAAAATGTTTTTATATCTGTTCTCTTTGTATTTATCCAGGATCCAATCAAGAATTTCACATGGCCATTTTAATATATCTTTAGTCTTCAAAAATAAGTTCTCTTGCCTTTTTTTTTCTTGATTTGTCTGACATTTGTGAAGAATTCAGGGCACCTGTTGCTTGAGGTGTGTTTTATAATCTTGATGTGTGCTTATTTCTTTCATGAGATTAAAATTAAGGGCTGGGAAGGTGGCTCAGTGGTAGAGTGTTTGCCTTGCATGCATGAGGCCCTGGGTTTGATTCCTCAGCACTACATAAGCAGAAAAAGCCGAAGTGGTGCTGTGGCTCAAGTGGTAGAGTGCCTTTCTTTCAGTGTTTTTTATTAAAAAATTTTAATGACACATTATGATTTCTTTCTCATTTTATTTGTGTATACTCTATAGATATTTCTTTGTTTACCATGGGGGTTGTGGATTAATCTACAGTTATAATTTGATTTGAATTGATAAAAACCTAATTGTATACAATTAAAGGTAAAGAAAAAATAGCAACAATCCAAAATAAATTTCTCCTAGATTTATTTCTTGATCTTTGTTATGCATAAATGGAAATACTCCCCCCATGAAATACTAATTTTCATACTTTGTTTAGGCATAACTAATACTAACATATTGATATTCTAGGTTTGGGTTGGTACCATTGGTTCAGGCCCTAAGGGTCGGAATCTCTGTGCTACCTTCCAGCATACTGAAACATTTGAGTTCCAGGATGAAGTGGGAGCACTTTTGTTATCTGTCTGCCAGACTGTGAGCCAAGGAATTTTGTGTTTTTTGCCATCTTACAAGGTAAAGGATGTTTATTGTTTCTTTTACCCTTAAAAAATCTTGTAGGAATACCAAGATAAACTTCCTATATTTTTTTAAACATTATGTTATTTGTTGTTTAACATATTGCTTGATTGTTCTATTACTGCTTTATTTGAAAGTCTAACATGATGGATGACAGGGAGATAAGACCCTTTTAGCTTTGTTGTATGAAATGTTAGTTATATAAAAGGACTGTTTGTGTACGTGTGATGTTTATTCTTAGAAGCAACTTGGTATTTTCATAAATGGAAGGAAAGAGTTTTCTTTTCCTTTTACAAATTACACTTTTGAAGGTTTCAGTAAAGTGAATTTAAGCCAAACATTCTTTGTTGCCCATTATTTTGCTTCAAGCAACTGACCAGAAGAAATTTATTTTTTCATTTTAGAGTCACTCTGATTTTTGGTAACTTTTAAAGATTAGATTAAAATTATATAGTACAGTGTTTCTCTTGTTTTTGATAACTTTTTGAGGTTAAATTAAAATTATGACGTATTTTGGTCCTCAGTATCAAAAGATCAAAACCAAATATAATTTCTGAGAATAATATATTATCAAAATCTAAGTTAAATTTCAATGTAAAAAAATGAAAAATTCTTTTTCAAGATTGTTTTGACCATTGAGTTCTTTGAGATTCTGTATGCAATTTTGGATGAGTTTTATTTTCCTAACTACACTTCTAGCTAGAAGTGTAGTTTAATTGTAGATGGCTTTCTTGGCATGCACAAGGCCTATTGTTCAATCTTCAATAGTGGAGGGGAAAAAAAATGTGGGTCATCTGGTCTATGGCCTTTTAATTGTATTTTATTTTTCTTTTAATTATGTGTTTAATTTCTTTCTGCAGTATTTAATAGTTTTCATTGTACAGCCTCTTTGGTTAAATTTATTCCTAAGTATTTTATTAATTTTTGATGCTCATAGAATTGATTTGTTAATTTCCTTTTCAGATCTTGTTATCATCAAGATATTATATTACTACTTCTTGTGTGCATATATATGTTGAATTTTGGAGGAAATTAGTCTTGTTATAGTTTTAATTCCTAACAATCTCCTACTTTCATGGATTCTAGAATGTTTAATAATATAGGCACAGAGGCAGTTCAGGTGTGGTATATTAATAACTAGAAATAAGAGAAATGCATATGTTAATATATATACACATAAGTAAATATATATACATATATGTATACATATAATTTTTTGGTGGTATTGAAGTTTGAACTCAGGGCTTCTTACAGGATTGCTTGGCTGGTACTACCATTTGAACTTCACATCATGAGCAGCTTTTTGCTGGTTAGGTGGAATCAGTCTCAGACTTTTCTGCCTGGGTTGGCTTTTAACCTTGATCTTCCAGATCTCAGTCTTCTGAGTAGCTAGGATTAACATGAGTGAGCCATCCGTGCACCCCTGAGAAGGAAACAACATTTTAAATTTTAAATGGAAAATAGAAAATCATGAAATTGTATTTTTATTTTCCTATATTTTAGTTAAAATTTTGGCAGCGTAGGTTTTTTTTTTAATTTAAGCTTCTTTGTTAAGGTGATATACGGTAGGGTTACAGTTACATAAGGCAGGTTATGAGTACATTTCTTTTTGAAGAATGTCACCCCCTCCCTCATTTTCTCTACTATTTCCCCTCCCAGTACCCCCTCCCCCCAGGTTGTAAAGTTCATTTCCAACATAGTGTCCAGTGAGTATTGTTGCTGAGTTGTTTTACCCTTTGTCCCATTGTTTTCTGTGATTTCCCCTTCCCCTCACCAATTCAGATAAACTTATATACAAGACAAAGGGAACAGAAATCAAAACCAGTGACAAAAGGGAATAAACCAAAGGAAAAAAAAAGAAAGAAAAAAGAAATAACTGCAAACAGTACAATAAAAAAAATCTGTTTCTGCTAGGGCTTCTTGGCACAACGTGGGTTTTGAACTCATGGCTTGTGCTTAGTGGGTATGTAAAGACTCTGCCACTTGAGCTATACCTCCAGACCCTTTTGCTTTAATCTTCAGATAGGGTCTTAGGCTTCTTGCTCATGCAGGCCATGGATTGTGATTACCCTATCTATATATATCTGGGATTATGGAACACTTCTGTCTTGTTCTGAGATAGGAAGTCAGTGCTTTCTTTTGGCCTGGGCTGGCCCTAAGTCTGATCCTCCTGTCTCAATTTTCTTACTATCAGGGATTACAGGTATAAGCTACCACACCTGGCTAAAATTATGTTTTTAATTACTGAATAATAATATGTATATTTATGACAGCTTTTTACGTTTCGAATATTAACATACTTATATTAAACACCATTCCATAACTGTGACATAAGTGGCACAATTACTTTATGCATATCTAAGTGAATTTAAACATTTTTTAAAACTATGGAATGTTTCCCAAATTTGCATGTCATCCTTGCTCAGGGGCCATGCTAATCTCTCTGTTTCGTTCCAGTTTTAGTGCATGTGCTATTAAAGTGAGCACCATAATCACCATAGTTATTAAATATTATTGTCATATAGCAGTTATAAAATACACTCCTTTTAAGCCCAATGAGTTTTGACAAATACACCCACAAAACTCATGCCATAATCTGAAAGTTTGGGTTCTGCCATGAACTCTTTTGAGTTCTAAAATGGATCTAATTATGATAAAATTGTAAAGAGTCTCCAAAGAAAGGACAATAACTCTATGGTGGTGAATCATACTAAAATTTATAAGCATTAGCGTTTTTCTTTTTATTGGATGTTCTGTTTCTAAGAAAACATAAATTGAATAAATCATGTGAATTACAGATACCAGGCCTTGCTAAATCTTAGGCAGACAGTTGGTGATGTGAACAAGGTGGTCTTTATTTTAGTCATGTTTCAAAGCATCTTATATATGTCTGAACAGTCTATACCATGATAATTCTTTTTTTCCTGATCATGGGACTTGTACTCAGTGAGTGGGTCCTGTCCCTGAGCCACAACTTCAGGTTTTCTGGTGGTTAATTGGAGATAAGAGTCTTATGGACTTTCCTGCCTGGGCTGGCTTCAAACTGTGATCCTCAGATCTCAGCCTTCTGGGTAGCTAGCTAGGATTACAGGTGTGAGCCACTGGCGCCTAGCTGATATCCATTTTTATAGATTCTTTTTTGCTAAGATTAGTACATTTACCATAAATATACTTTTCAGTATATATCCATCTTGTTTTCTAGCAATTAAGGAATGTTGAAGGTTCAAAGCTGACAGCGAGTTGTAACTCTCTGCCTTTTTATTCTGTTCTGGCCATTAGAGGTTGGATGATTTCTACCTACATTTATAAAGGGCTTCTGCATTACTCACTTCATCAATTTAAACGTTAATCTCCTTGGAAAATACTCTTACAAAACCATTCCAAAGTTATGCTTAAATACTTGGGCAACTCATGGCCAACGTAAGTTGACATATAAAATTCACATCACAAATGTATTTTCTTTCTTTCTTTCTTTCTTTCTTTCTTTCTTTCTCTCTCTCTCTCTCTCTCTCTCTTTCTTTTCTGTCTGTCTGTCGGTCTGTCTGTCTGTCTTGGGGCTTGAACTCTGGGCCTGGCCTCTGTCTCTCAGCTCTTCAGCTCAAGGTGAGCCCTCTACCACTTGAGCCACAGCACCACTTCTGGTTTTCTGGCAGTTTCTTGGAGATAAGAATCTCAAGGACTTTCCTGCCTGGATAGGCTTTGAACCGTGATCCTCAGTTCCCAGCCTCCTGAGTGAGCCACCAGCACCCGCTTGTTGTGGACCTTTTTAAACCTTATAGTATATGATATGACATGAAAGTTGTATATCACAGTTAAATTTCAATATGTAGATCAAAACCAATACTTTCTTAGTTTTTCGTTAATTTAGAAAATATATATGTGAGCTGGGCGCTGGATCTGAGATCTGAGGATGGAGGTTCAAAGCCAGCCTGGGCAGGAAAGTCCGTGAGACTCTTATCTCCAATAAACCACTCAAAAACCCGAAGTGGCGCTGTAGCTTAAGTGGTAGAGCACTCGCCTTGAGTTGAAGAGCTTAGAGACAGGGGCCAGGCCCAGAGTTCAAGCCCCACGACCGACCGAAAAAAAAAAAAAGATCCACAACAGATGGGTTACTGGCTTTTCTTCCGTTTGTTTTCTTAGTGCAGAAAGCTATTGCTGCCAGGTGTCAGTGGCTCACACCTATTATCCTTGCTACTCAGGAGGCTGAGATCTGAGGCTCATGTTCAAAGCCAGCCTGGGCAGGAAAGTAGTCTGTGAAACTCTTATCTCCAATAAACCACCAGAAAACTGGAAGTGGTGCTGTGGCTCAAGTGGTAAAGCTCTAGCCTTGAGCTAAAGAGCTGAGACAGCATCTAGGCCCAGAGTTCAAGCCCCATGATCTACAAAAAAATTGCCATGTTTGTAATTCACTCTCCCTGGAACAGAATTCAGCACATGAGAAATTTTGAAATTCTGGGATTCATCATGAGAACAATTACTTTTTTGTAAAAAAAAAAAAAAAATTAGGTTTAAAACAAGTACACTTCTAAAGAATCAATATTCTAGCCCAAAGGAGAGAAATTTATAAGTTTAAGGTAGTTCCTACAGTCTGGTTTTTGGTGGGTTTTTTTTCTTTCTTTTTTTTTTTTTTTTTTTTTGGGTCTGGTCATGGGGCCTGAACTCTGGGCCTGGGCACTGTCCCTCAGCTCTTCAGCTCAAGGCTAGCGCTCTACCACTTGAGCCACAGCGCCACTTCCTGCTTTTTTCTTTTTGCTTATGTGGTGCTGAGGAATCGAACCCAGAGCCTCAGGCATACAAGGCAAGCGCTCTACCACTGAGCCACCTTCCCAGCCCCCTACAGTCTGTTTTTTTCATTTTTATTTCTTATCACTATATAATTACAGGAATTTTTTTTTTTTTTTTGCCAGTCCTGAGTCTTGAACTCAGGGCCTGGCACTGTCCCTGAGCTGTTTTTGCTCAAGGCTAGCACTCTACCACTTGAACCACAGCACCATTTC